ATAATATTACTTTGAGTCATACACTGATGATTAACAGATAACATATGTAAAGAGCTTAGAACATGTCTAGCGCACAGTAGGTACTATACAAGTGTTAGGTGTTTTGGTTTTCATTCTGTGGTTTACCATCTATCTTCCCCTAAGCCATGTGACCTCTCACCCCAGAATAGGAAATTTTAAGCTCACTGCCCACCCCCAGAACTGATGATGGTAGAAGTAAAATGGACAGCAGATAAACCCCCCTGCTGTTTTAGGTAAACAAAGACATTAAAACAAAGGGAAGAGACAGTCACCAGAACAAGGAAAAGGAAGAAAAGAAATACAACAGGAGACACTTTGTGGAAATACTAAACGGTATTGGACATTAAGAGGGACACACTAGGGAGAGTCAGGAGAAAAAAGTCATCAAAAACAGTGAGTCCACGTGAAAATAAAGAGCGAAAGAAAAGTCTTTTAAAAAATCAGGTAAATTGATCTAGCTGGAAGTAGGTTGAGTAAGGAGACTAAGCAACTCAAGAGTCAAAGTAAGAGAGGATCTGACTGAACGTCAGAGAGGGGATATGATGGAGAGAAGCTGCCCAGCACAAGGAGAACTAGTGCCCTAGGAGTCACTACTGTTAAGGTCAAGTCCGAATTGATCTTGCAAAGCTGAACTGTTCTCTGGAGAAGTCAGAATGCTATGCAAGGGGTGGAAATTTCTGAAGCAGTCAAGACAAGAAAGAAGAGACACAGGTAGTGAGAATTACAGTTCAGGTTCTAGGAGAAAAACAAATAACTAAGTCTTAGGGACCAGTCACCTCCAGTATTGCACTCTCAGCTGTGAGGGAGACATAAGAGAAGAGAGGATGGGCTGGCTATATAAAGGGGAGGCTGTCAGCCTCTCATGGCAACTTCCTTAGGGGAGCGCATACCTCATACAAGACTCAGGAGCTTTGCTGGCATCAGCATTGTTCTATATCTGAGTTCCTCATGGTAAAAAAAGATGGGCAAAAGGGAGACCTACCTTCCTTAGCTGCTAGCAATTCCTGAGACCCCCCTACAAGCAACAGGAATAAGAGTGATATTGTCTCAACCTCAACCTCTAGAACTGGACAGGACAGCATAACATACTGGTTAAAAACTAGAGTCAGGCTGGGCACGGTGGCACCTGTAGTCCCAGCTACATAGGAGGCTGAACTCTTACTTGAGCCGGGAGTTCGAGGCTGCAGTGAGCTAGATCATGTCATTGCACTCTAGCCTGGGAAACAGAACAAGTCCCCATCTAAAAAAAAAAAAATCTAGAGTCAAATTGCCTGGTTCAAGTACTAGCCCATTATTTAATAGCTGTGTAATCTTATATAAATTATAAAACCTCTCAGTTTTTAAGCTTCAGTTTTCTTATCTATAACATGGAGGTCATACTAATACTATTTCAGAGAAAAATGGTAAAATCTGGATGAGACTACTACATAATAGGCACATTTAATAAACATTAACTAAAATAATGTTGTTCTTATAATTACTATCTCAGGGGCACATGGTGGGGTGAGGAGTATACCATGAATTCTCCTAGGCCTCCAAGCCATGTGCTCTTGATGTCAGTGCAAAGCTAGCACTGGCCTGGTTATGCAACTCCTTCCCTTACCTACCATCTCCAGGCACAATCACACCACCTCCAGTCAGCAGCTGGTCCCTGCACTGTGCTTTCAGATGACAAAGCTGCACAAGTGCTTCAAAAATGGAAAGGATCATAACTGCATAAAGCTGCTACTCTCTGCCTGGACAGCTCACTCCTATGTCTATACCAATGTTCACAAGCATCCTCCAGTCGGGCTGCAGAGGGCTTCACAGCCTATCACACAAGGGCTCAGAGTGGGAGTACAGATGATGGCTTGTCCTTCAAATTTTGCATTTTGATATTTTCTCAGCCTAGCAGTGTGTGGTATGATACTCTCTCCTCATGCCAGGCAGCAGCAGGGAGCCACAGCTTCCAGTCAGCCATGCAATCACAAGGGCAAGCAATCCATACTCTGATTTTGCCCGACTATAGGCTAATGTAAGTGTTCTGAGCACATTTAAGATAGGCTAGGCTAAGCTACGGTGTCCAGTAGGTTAGATGTGTTCAGTGAATTTTTGATCTATAATATTTTCAATTTACGATGGGTTTATCAGGAAGTCAGGAGGAGCATCTCTATGAGGGAAGCCACAGGATTAACTGAGCAAGGGGTCAACAGGAAGGGAAGAGGGGAAGGGCCCAAAAATACTGTCTGACCTTCTCATGGTGTATGGTACATACATGGGCGCTGCACATGTTTCCATCATTCCAGCAGAACAAAAAGTTCTCTTGTAGACTGGGAGGGCAGGTGCTGGGAGAAGACTTAGGATGGAAGGTGTAAGGATTGTCCTTGTCCAAATGCCTGGATATCATTGCATGCAGGCCACTGGGAAGACCTCCTAGTGACTACTGCTGAAGCCGAAAGAAAAACAAGATAAAATGGAAGACAGGCTATGCTCACAGATCCCTGATAGTCCAGTAAGAAGCAGCTGCCTCAGGGACTCCTGCCGGAGGAAAGTGGATTACCAGGGGTGGTGGTTCGCCCAGCGGAGAAAAAGAAAAAAGGTAAAAGACTTTTATTGCTCATACAAATACCTAAGGAGGTTTCATCTGGTATCTGCAGAGACTGTAAGACTAACAACTCTATTCTGATGCATAGGCATAATAGTGAAACTGAAAGAAAGCATCAGAGATGTTGTCAGACAAAGATACACTGGAACTTTTTTTTTTTTTTTCTGAGTTGGAGTCTCACTCTTATCGCCCAGGCCGGAGTGCAGTGGCATGCTCACGGTCACCGCAGCCTCGACCTGCTGGGCTTAGGTGATTTGACCTGCTGGGCTTAGGTGATCCTTCCTCCTCAGTCTTCCAAGTAACTGGAACTATAGACGCATGCCACCACACCCGGCTAGTTTTTGTGATTTATTGTAGAGACTCGGTCTCACCAAGTTGCCCAAGCTGGTCTCGAACCCTCGGGCTCAAGCAATCCTCTCGCCTCAGCTTCTCAAAGTGCTGGGATTACAGAGTGAGCCACCACGCCCGGCCTGGAACTTTCCTACATATAACTTGTTGGTTAAAATGTTAAGGTGCGTCTCAAAATTAGCAAGACATAAAAAAAACATACTCGGCCAGGCGTGGTGACTCAGCCTATAATCCCAGTACTTTGGGAAGCCAAGGCGAGAGGACTGCCTGAGCCCAGGAATTTGAGACCAGCCTGGGCAACTTGGCGAGACCTCGTCTCTACAATAAATCACAAAAACTAGCCGGGCATGGTGGTGTGCGTCTGTAGTTCCAGCTATTTGGAAGGCTGAGGCGGAAGGATCACCTAAACCCAGCAGGTCAAGGCTATGGTGGCCGTGAGCATGCCACTGCACTCCAGCCTGGGCAATAAGAGTGAGGCTGCAACTCAAAAAAAAAAATTCAAAAGTAGATTAATTTTTTAAAAAACTATTTGACTATAAGGCATATTTGTCTGGATCGTTCCAAATTATTGGGGTCTCTTCTCTCCTGGTCTATCTATCTATCTATCTATCTATCTATCTATCTATCTATCTGAGATGAGGTCTCATTAAGTTGCCCAGACTGGTCTCAAACTCCTGGGCTCAAGCAGTCTGCCTGCCTCAGCCTCCCAAAGTGCTGGGGTTATAAGCATGAGCCACTGTGCCTGGCTTTATTTTCCTATTCTGTCTGGTTGAAATAACCTTCATTAACAAATTTGGTCATACACCTCCACATCTGGATCTCCAATTCCAGAAAGTTGGTTAAAAAAGAATCCATTAGATCCAAAGGAAAAGCAGCCTCTGCACAGCATCCCAAGTGCCCTGATAGTCAAGTTTCTTTGCTCGAGAAATCATAGAACTGCAAGTAAGGACTTGAGCTCTGGAGTCAAATCCCAGCTCTACCACTAAGAAGCTCTGACAGTGGACAATCTAAGTCTCATCTAGAAGGTGAGTATAATAGTAATTCCTTTTACAGGGTTGCTATTGTGGTTAAATAAGATAGCACAAGTGAAGCACAGCATTGAGCACATAATAAGCCCTTAAAACGGCATGTTATTAGTAGTAACAAATAATATTTCAAATTTAAATATTGCTCCCACATAAGCTACGTACACAAACATTCTGCATTGCCTTAGATTTACTGTTCATGTGTGTAGATTGTTGAGAGTTCCCCATAAGTATTGATTTCTTTGCTGAAAAAGACTCTGATTAATTTCCTTAGCAAATTTCCCATTATGGAAGTTATTCACAGACAAGTATATAACCACTTGATATAGGTTTAAAAGAAAGTCATGGATTGTGAGGGAATACAGATCATTTGACTTCTTTTTTTTTTAATTAAGAAAGGTAGATTTATTAAAGGAAAGATATGTTGTGAAAGACAATAGGCAGACAGCAGCAAGATTGTCTGCCCCAGCATTTTAAAGTAGCAGAGAATTTATAGCAACCTTTGCAATACGAGAGGAATAACAGGCTCAAGAATTGGAGGACTTTATTACTCAGGGATAAGAAGCCAAAAAGAGATGGGTGAGAGACGTATAGCTCACACGTAAAGCCCTTTCTCTCTCTTATGAAGCAAAATAATTTCCTAAGAGCACTGGGTTTTGTATGCCTCCACTAGATGCTCTTATGACTATGTTTTAAAATGCAGCATCTGCTCCTGGTTGTGTTAATAACTATTTTCTTGTTTTCTTCTGGCCAATGCATAGGTCAATGTGAAGGTTCAGGCGTCCTCAAGCGGTTCATGGGTTCTTACCAGATCCTCTTTACCCTCTTTGCAGTGTTGGCATCAACAGCTTTCATCTTTCTAGGTAAGGAGTCATTACATGCAGCACCGTGGACTTTGACATGGAAACTCCCTTCATTTTATTTCACAAATTGACCCAAGACTCTAGTATTCCACTCTTCTGGTTGCCCCTGAATACTTGAGGCCAGAGCTTCCTAGCAGTTAAACAAGACAATAAACAGGCTATATCCAAAATGTGTTTATTGGGATGGTTTCCCATTCATCTTGGTTGGGGTGCTTTTAGTGCTGCTTCCTCCTGAAGGAGCATCCTTCTGTTAGCCTTGCTTTTCCTCCTGTAGGCTGACAGAGGACAGTGGAGCAGCCAACACACAAAACTACTGTTTGTGCATGGCTGAAGACCGTGGTGATTTTATAGCATCCTGGGCATTTCACGTCCATGAAGTAGGAGTTGGGGCTCTGCACCAGGCGCTTCTTCTTGTGTTTCCTCTTCTCCTCTGGAGAGGGATGAAGGAGGTCCTTTGCGAGCTCAGCCTCCCAAAGGCGCGGGATTACAGGCTGAGCACCAAGCCCGGCTCCTGGAGGTCTCGATGGAACGTCTGCCTCCCTCCGCCCGCCTCCCGGCTCCCGAGGGGGGAACCACGGGTGGCAGTGCGGGGAGAAGCAGCGGCCCGGCCCGCCGCTGGGGAGGCCTGGCCCCATTTGACTTCTTAAGTCCCCACTTAAGGTCAATTTGTAGGTCTATGTTCTATCCCCTTGTTTACAAGGTCAACTCTCAGCCAGATGAGACTCTACCCAGCATTTAAGATGCCCAGAAAAAGAAACACAGACAATAGATCTGTTTCACTTTTAGAGGGAAAGAAAGGAGATGGGCGTGTAAAATTTGTTTCCTTTGTGAATTCCACAGCAAGTCTGTCATGAGAGTTTCAAAAGACAATCAAAAAACTAGGGGTTTCAAAAGTCAAGCCACGAGTTCAATTTACTAACTCACCCATCATGCTCACATAAAGAATGCCACAAGGAATTTTTTGTGTGTGGGAGGTGGGATGAGGGAGGTGCACTCAAATCATTCCTCACTCCCTCAGCCCCTCTCCCCAGTCCCCACGGACCATTTGAATCAGGTCAAAATGGGTTTCTCTATATCTCAATGGACATTTCACCTTGGGACTAAGAAGAAATAGAGAGAGCCCAGCAGTTAATTGCTTCTTACTCACATACCTAAAGATAAGAAAAAGAGAACCACTGAGTAACCTGGAAAGTTGGTGACAGGATGGAAAGATTTAATTACAAACCCCAGCCTCACCCATCTTTCCCCTTGCTACAGAATGTGATTCTTGGGCTATGTAGAAGACAGGTAAGGGAAAACAGAAGCTGTATCCCCAGGTGTCTTGGTGCTTTTTCTGTTACTATAACATAATACTAAGTAATTTATAAAGAAATTTGCTTCTTACAGTTCTGGAAGTTGGGAAGTCCAAAATCAAGAAGCCACTTCTGTTCCTGTGTCTTTACATGGCGAGGACATCACATGGCAAGAGGACAAAAGCATGTCTCTCTTCCTCTTCTTTTAAAGCCACCAGACCCATCAGAGGGGCCTTACCCTGATGATGTTATCTAATCCTACTTACCTCTCAAAGGCCCCACCTTTTAATACTGTTACCAAAAAAAGATTAAATTTTCTACTTATGGATTCTGGGGAACAAAATCAAAACACAACACCAGGTAAGGTAACAGCTCCCTGTCCCAGCCCTATTGTGTGCTTCATACTAGCGAGAGCAAAACCACAGGAGGCTTCTGGGCTCAGGGCATGTTTCTCAAAACAGGGTCCAAGACTACTTGTGTCAGAATCATTTAGGATATGTGTTAACCCCTAATTTGCAGGCCTATCCCAAAACACAGGACTCAGAATTTGAGTGGGTCCCAGAAATCTTCAAAGTTCTGCCTGCAACTCTGAAACACATTAAAAGGCTAAAAAACACTGCCTTAGAACCATGGTCTACCAAGTGGGATGCTTATTACCAAGAAAACATGAACGCTCACCCATGGCCACGCAGGAAGAAAATATTAGAACTTGGATGTGTATTTATGTTTATCTCATCCTTTTACAATGTTTTGCAACATATGTATTACAGCATACGCCAAATATTTAGTACAGAAGTACACACATATAATTCATGCATGTATGTATTGGTGGTAGATGCTCAAAATGTTTACATTTGCAACCAAGCTGAAACATCAACCTCGGGTCCAGTGACTCCTTCAATATCTCAATGGGCAAGCAGGAAGTGGTCTCTGAAGAGCTGTTCAGAGCTGCTGAACACTCTTTAGAGTGTTTTAGAATTATTTATCAGTGGGTGGTTGAGAAGAGAACGCAGTGGCTTTATCCCCTGACTTCATCTCAACCCTGAAGTAAGAGGGAGGCAAAGAATGCAGCACAGAGCAGGGCAAGCCCAAGATTGGACTCTCTGCCTTGAGCCGGAGTTGCCACCCACTCACATTCCTTCCTCACAGAGGCTGGTAGGAGGATGGAATTTCTCCCAGCAGGAAGTAGGGAAGCTGAAGAATAAAAATTACCATCCACCCTGCCAGTTGTCCAAACCTAAATCCCAACTATGGCATCAGCAGAGTTAGAGTAGTTTGCTGAGCTATAATTAACAGCTCCCCTTTCTCGGGCAGAAAGAAGAAATGCTGGAGCAGGAGAAACACAGAGCAGGTGATGGTTACACCTGCAGACAGTTCTGCTGACGGCAACATAAGCAGCCAGGACTCTAAGCGGGAACTCGGAGAGGGAGGAGGAAGACAGAGCACCCACTTGCTTCTCTGTCCTGCCCTCAAAAGACAGAGAGCTTAGCTAGCACCTTAAAAAAAAAAAAAAAAGGCCATATGTACTGTCTTCCACAAGACCACATGATCCCCTAAGCATATGTGCACGTGGACCGGAGAAAGAGGAACACATGAGGGTGGGTGCAGATCAAACCATATCCGTGACAATGAAAAGTTCAAAAAATTGGTAGCTGTATAAGGGCTAGTCTTCAGTCCTCCATTTGGGCCAGTCACAAAATCCTGTGACCACAGAATGTTACAGCTAGCAAAACACCTTAGTTATTCATCTGCTTCATTCGCTCATTTGACAAATATTGATTAAGCAACTATCATGTGCCAGGCACTGTGCTAAGTGCTGGGTAGACAGCAAATACAGCAAAGGCAGTCCATGCTCTCACGTGGTTTGAAGACTAGTGGGAGAGATGGACAGTGATCAAGTCAACAAATAAATACAACTGTAACATGTATATAGTGCTAAGAAGGAAAGTAAACCAGGGTGGCAAGTGAGGGAGAAAAACCCTAGAAATCGGGGGTGGGGGTGGGGGGGTGGTGAGAGGCAGCTTCTCTGAAATATAACAGCTCCCAGATGTGGAAACTGAGGCTGACAGAGGTTTTGAGTGGTGAGGCAATAACAGGAAGGGAGACAGAACTCAGATCTTCCTCTCCACCCACGCTCTCTCCTGCACCACATTTTTCCTGGAATCTAAACAGTCAGAAAATCTGGGACCCTTGCCAGAATTATTTACAAAGGGACATTTCCACCGAAGCATTTGATCAAAGTGAGCCTCTCCTGAGATGAGAGCTTCTTCCTAATCAGCCAGAAAAAACTGAGCACCTTCTAAGCCCACAATCCACAGGAAGTCCCACCAGGCTGCCTGCAGGTCAGTCAGGAGGCACCTCCACATACCTGCTACCCTGGGCTCCTCGCTCCATTCTCAAGGTAGCTGTCATCCACTGGGACAGCAAGGACCAGAGCTTACATGACTGACTTTCCCCAGCAACTAAGAAGCCAAACATCAGGAAACTTAGTTGGCAACTAAGAAGCCAACAGAGGAAAGCTTTCCTCTCCTCTCCTCTCGTGGACTCATATATGGTTCCATTAATAAGTTCTCAAACTTCCAGTTCACTAAGAGCTCAAAATTCACCTTCCACACACCTGATGGGACAAGCCCAGGCCTACTGTTTGCTGACAATGGCACAAGTTGCCACCTACTGAGTGCTGATTATGTGCCAGGCACAGCGCTAAAAGCTTTTTCTATTTTTTTCTCATAGTTGATCCTTACATCCTCCAAAGTAGTCACAATTATCTTCACCGTTCAGGAAGGAAACAAATTCAGAGAGGATGAAATGATTTTGCAAAAGCACCACAGCCAGCATGTGGCAAAATTTAAACTAAGGTGTGTTGGTTTTCAAAGCCTTCCTGAGTTCCACACAGCCACTACTGAATTCTGTCCATGCCACCAGCACCCTATCACAGGATCAGAGATGCTCTTATTCTATCACTATTGATTGCCTACTGTGTGAGGTCACAGCACTGCATATCAGTACCAGAGAAGACATCTAATCAGAGGAAGGACTCAGTCTCTGCTCATCAGTCTCAAAACCTCTACCATGAGAACTCTCCTGGGGAAAGAACTCTTGTCAAAAGATGGCTAAGCAATCACAGGCATCTATGCTTCTATATGTGTGTGAGTGTCTGTCTGTATGTATGTGAGAGACAGGGAGGGAAGGAGAGAGGGAAAGGGAGAAGGATAGTGAGAGGGAGGGCAAGAGAGAGGGAGAGAGGGAAGGAGGGAGGGAAGGAGAGAGGAGGGAGGACCAAGATCATGCCACCTACCACCTCTAGCTCCTCCTGACTCTTTGAAATCCATGTAGCCCCTCTTTACTTTTCTTCTTCTTTTTCTCTCATTTCATTTGTCCCATCTTTCCATTTTCTTACTGCTGTTTCTTTTCACATCCCCCCGACCCAAAAAAGCTGCCCATAGATTTACATGACACCCCCTCTTGAACACCTGCCAGCTTTCAAATTTTACTTTGATCCTAGAGGCTAGAACTTCCTCCTCCAGGAAACCTCCTCCTCTCTGTTAGCCACAGAGGCCAAGACAGGGCATATTTATCAAAGAGTCACTGCAACCCATCTACCTGGCATAGGGGCCATGGTAGGAAAAAGCACCCCAGACCTGGTGCATGCTCCAGCGGCACTGCAGTCACAGCAAAGCACCCAGCGAAAGATATAAGAAGTGAACACACTAAGTCAACACCCCAAACTCCTCACACTGACGTGCTCATCAGTGGAAGACAATTATCAACAACCTCAAAAACACTAGCACCCCTTACCATAAAAAAGGAACATAAGGGTCTCTGGCCAGTTATGAAGAAGGGCCCAGAAAGTCAAGTCATCTTCTTGAAAAGTACACAGCGAGGCACAGACTCAGTTTCCCAGTCAATGGCCCTTCTGGCCAAACCCCCTCAGCCTTTCCTTTCAGCTTCTTGCAGTAGAGCACTGTGCCTCCCTCTTAAGCACCTAGCACTTGGCATGGACTTGCAACACCTCCAAACATGGGAGCCAACCCAGGAAACCCCAAACCTAATCTCCAGGGACCCTCTGTCACCTACTTGGCTCGTAGAAAGGCCAGCTTCTTCCTCAGGGAGGAGACGTGGTAGTGACAAGCCTGCTTTACAGCCGTGCTGCACGAGACGGTCTCGGAGCGCAGATTCTGCACCATGTTGGACACAGGGGAGGGCTGGACACATGGCAGCTGGGACCTCAAGGGCTGGGGGCTCACTCTGGAGCTGCGTGGACTCACTGCCTCTGCAGCTATCCCAGCTGTCGACTGTGGTCTCCTGCACATAAGCTCTCCTCTCCCTGCAGTTCAGTACAA